ACTTACTATACTATATATTTTGTCTATACATGAAATAAGGGTATACGATATCTTTGTATACTATATCTGCTTTGTTATATATGTGCACCCATATTTACATGCACAGATATGTATATATTTATAATTATTTCTGTGTTTGTGTAAGTAGTGAAGACTTCGCCATCATCAAACATATTGAGGCAGAAATAAAACAATGATAATCCGGAGTACATATTTTATTTTGCATTCAATTGCATGGACTAGATAAAAGTATATATGAATATATGTATATTACAATACCTTGACCAGCAGACTAAGGTAAGGTAGTCACACACTATCACAGGCAATAATCATAGAAAAGACTGAACCTTATGCAATACGTATGAATAAAGTTCGTCACCTTACTGAGCCATCCCTTGGTGTCGTCAGGTGAGTTTGGAACTAGCGGATTTGAGAGCGCCAGTGCATTCGGCTCAGTTTTCCGAGTTCCTTCTTATCTAACCTACCTTTGACAAATCACAATACAAATAAATTTATACAGCGATAGCGAGGATATAAGCTTTATGTAGAGCAGGACAAACACGCCAACACTTTCACCTAAACACATACACATATCTATATGAGTACACACATAAATATGTATACATATATTCATCTGTGTGTGCTTATGCGCGCGTGAGTGTATTTGTGTATGCGTGTGGGCATATGTTTGTGTATGTGTGTGACCTTGCGCGCGTCCGTGTTACCGAGTGTGTGGTATGGTTTTAAGTTGATGTAAAATTATATACAATGTGTATATATATATGTGTGTGCGTGTGTATATATTGATTCGTATGCACTATGTGTAAGTATGCATTTATGCATACAAACTATATATATATACTACATATATGTATATATACTACATATATATATATATATATATATATATATATATATATATATATATATATATATCTGCGCGTGCATGCGTGTTCTCACACACATACACATATATATACATATATATATACATACACACACATTTATATATATATGTGTGTGTGTGATACATGTACGCGCGAACGTATATGTATGAGCATACACACAGACTATATATGTAAGTATATTTATACATACGTATATGTATGTATACACACCCACCCACCACACACACGCCCGCGCGCGCATATTTATAATGTATGTGTAATTGAAAAAAAAAGTGTAGGTACGTCTGCAGATTCCTAAATCTGATGGAACAAGACTGAAAAGCTTTATGAGGCTGTTATTGAAATATTCATAAACGTAGACAAAATTCAGTGAGATCAAAAGGTTTATATACAGAAATAATGTAAAGTACCAGCAACAACTTTCCACTTATACTTTCACATATTTGTTATTTTTTTCTAAGAAACATGATTACACACGTGGCACAAGTCACCGTTAACACGTCATGAAGAACGTAACGTATGCGGTGTTGTGTGGAAGCATGCAGTTTTCACCAACAAACGGAGATGCGGTATATCCGGCAACAACACCAAGTCATCAGGCTATGTGGATTGCGCAAGAACGTAACCAGTTACTGGCGGCAGTGGCATTGTAAAACATAACCGTATGTTGAGTGTAAAATGAAGTCATGAGCCAGAGTGCTAGATGTATCATAACCAAGTCACCAACATCACCAGCTATTTACATACATTGTTCAACAATCGCGTAATGAAGTAAAGGTAACTTTGATTACGGCGCACTTTTAGCTTTATGTGGGTTAGTTAGGGTGTCAGGGAGAGGTGTCATTTGTAAGTATTGTATAATGATTGTCTAACATTTGATATGTATATATATATATATATATATATATATATATATATATTTATATACATATATATACATTAAAGTAGATATGTATGAATACATCCACATATACACACGTACGTATGTATGAATGCATACATATACATACACATATATACATATGTATATGCATATATATATACCTGTACACACTTGGACATACATATGTATATACACATATCCATATATATCTTTATATATGGTGTACGGTTGTCCGAATAAATATTTCTATGCATACATACATACATATATATGTATATATATGTATATATATATCAATCTGTATATTTATATGCTTATATATATATATGTATACTTATATGTATATATGTATATGTATATATTCGCACATAGACAAATATGTCTGTGTTTATGTATATATGTGTATTTGTACGTGCATGTCAATATGTCAATATTTGTTTACAAATTAAGTACTGATTCAGGAAAAGTAAGGTAGATTCCTCTGCCTTTACTTCTTACTTAAATGTACGTAGTTTCTAAAAAAGAAAGTATAATGATTACAATGTAATTAAATAACATTTCAGTTGAATTAGGTAACCTCGGCATATTTTATAAAGCACTGCTTAAGAAAGTGTTTTTTCTTCTCTTTTGCTAGACAACAATGAGTATAACACCAGTGTCTTACAACTTTACCAGAAGCGCTTCACAGGTCCTTATATCAGCATTTGTA